ATCCTATTCACATTTTCTTACCATAATTTTATTTAAACATTTATTTGTTAATAATTTGTAGAAATAAAAATGTGTCCTCAAAGGGTTAATCAATTATATATTTTGCATTTATCCAATTATCTATATGGAAGATACGACATCACGAGTTACCAAAGATGTGTAAATTGTCTTGGTGGAAACAATTCCTTTGTCAATTCAGGTCATTTTTCTTTGATTGTTTCATCCAGTTTTATTGATTATTGACAGTAAACATCGGAATAGATCGTTTGTTTCATTGGATGTGGCTCAAAATACACAACACCTTTGTAATCTCACCAAATTCACAGTCTGATCTTTATTTGATAGAATTCGGCTTTCGATGCTCTTTGTGGCTCATGAGCTTTCTTGCTTTTACGGAAATGAAAAAAAAAAGAAAAATACGTCGAAAATGTTCGTTTTTATACAAAATTACATGCAATTTGCTTCTAAATGATTCAAATATGACATTAATCAAATGTCAAAAGCATAAAATCATACCAATCTTTACTTTCTTGTCAACCCAAAAAAAACTATATTATTAATTAATATATACAAAATTTAAACTAAAGGTTTGAATTCTTACATTTTCAGGAATAATTGAAAAACGACTCTTTTTTATATTGAAATGTATAAATAAAATGAAGATCCTTTTACAGCTGCTATTTACGATACTAATCTAAGCATCCATTAGTATACTCACATTATAGAAGTATCCTGTATCTTCTGAATGAGGTGTTTACCAACATCTTTACTTGTATTTTGTGCACGTAAAGTGCAATAGTTTACTCTCATTAATTATATAAAAACTATGATGTGTATTTCATTACTGTTTTCTTATAAACTTCAATTCCAATTTAAGTTTATAAGCAAAAACATACATCTTTTCGCATCTTGAATTTTATTTTTACTTGTCAACTAGTAATATATAAGCAAATAAAATAAAAAAGTGCATTATGCCCATTAAATTAATATGTTTTAATGAATTTTGTGGATTATATTACATTAGCTCATATTTATTACTGTTAATTTATGAAATACAAATGCGCAGAACGTATAATTAATACATCAATTGAAATATTATATTAACTCCAATGATAATTGGTTTACGCTAATAGGATTACAATCTCGAAATGAAAATAAGGAAATTATCATGATGAATCACGTTAAACATATAATGTGTTGGACGGTTGGACTGATAATCCCCGGGCAATTAACTATATTTAAGTTTGTTTGCTAGAACCCTTCTTATTTGCATACTCGGTTAGAGGGGGAGGTGAATTTCCTGTAAATTTGACTAATTGACCTCCCGCGATGTTCCAGCATTGAAGCCCATCTAAAAACATTCGCAAATCAAAATAAATTGCTGTTGTTAAGCATTTAAATCATCCTTATTTCGTTTCATATTCTACAGATTTTGTATTAATTGACTTATATAATGTTATATAATGTTCTCAATGGTAATAAATGCTTTACAGTAGAAATATGTACTATCAATACAAAATATTAAAAGTAAACAAAAATATTTGATACAGTGAAACTTTTACCGTACTTTTTGCAAACGGAAAACTGAAATTTCACACGCAATAATAAAATGCAATAAACTATTGTCTTTAATAGTAAAATACATATCAAGTAAGGGATCACGATTTCGTATACGTAAAATTTTTCTATTTTCCATAAGAAATACTTAACTTTTGGATATTTTCCCGGGAAAATGGAAAAGTCAAATCTTAAAAATTGCCGACTTTCTAGCGTTTTATGGAAATAAAATAAGTAAAATATGTCGAAAATGCATTTTTGCACTCCATGTGAAAATTGACCATAAACAAAAATTACTCGCAATTATCTTCTAAAGTTAGCTACAAGTGACACCTATCAAAAGTCATAAATAGAAAATCGAGACATTGACAGAAGTCTTTCCTTTATTGCCAACCTATATTGTCTTTAATATTAAAATTCATAAGCAAGTAAGGGATCTCGATTTTTTCTACGTAAAACTTTTCTATTTTTCCACAAGAAATACTCAACTTTTGGATATTTTCCCGGGAAAATGGAAAACACAAATTTTAAAAATTCCAGACTTTCTAGCCTTATACGGAAATTAAATAAGTAAAATATATCGAAAATATTTGTTTTTGCACTCTATGTTAAAAATTTCTGGCAATTTTCTTCTAAAATAAGCTAAAAGTGACATTTATCAATTTTCATAAAGAGAAAATAATGACATTGACAGAAGTCTTCCATTTATTGCCAACCCATATTGTCTTTAATATTAAGTAAGTAAGTAGTGGATCTCGATTTTGTCTACTTAAAATTTTTCGATTTTCTCGGGAAAATGGTCGTTAGCCCTTTGGCCAGCCTATTAATATATATTTTTTTATTGTATGTTAAAATTTATTTATGTATAAATTGTACTTTTTTTTCTTTTTTTCTTCTTCTTATGTATTGATGTTTGGCCAATAAATTATTATTATTATTGGAAATAAGTAAATGGAAATGAAATAAGTAAAATATATCGAAAATGTTTGTTTTTGTACTACATGTTAAAATTGACTAGAAACTAATTAATTTAAATTAAAATTACTGGCAATTTTCTTCTAATCATGACATTGATATTAGTATTTCCTTTATTGGAAACCCAATATAATTATATTTATCATAATATTTATTCTTTTGTATTTAATATTTAGTGTTCCCGGGAAACGGGACAGTATAAATTTTATACAACATATGCAAAAACAAAATATTGTCATTCATAGTAAAGTAAATAAATATGTTAAGGTATTTCGATTTTGTGTAATTGAAACTTTCCAATTTTTCCACAAGAATTTGTTTCAGGAATTTTATTTTTTTTGCGAGAAAAATAATATATAAATGTAAAATATTTTTGAATCTCTAGTTTTATATTGAATTTTTCTAATTTTAAATAAATTTTAGATGTAAGATATTTTATTAGAGAACATTATGGATTTCAATATTACAAAACATTAATTATTTATCATTCTGATGCAAAAGTAGACAAAACCTTTTGAACAATTAGGATAATTGAATATTCTATTATCTCCTATTATATTTAAAATTACAATAGGCCCTTACACTTTTCATGAATTCGCAAACATTGAATCAAATATTTATGGAGTGTCGATGCCGCAAATTTGAATATTTCTACATAACGTAAAATGGATTATGGATTGAATGCTGTTTCAATATTCAACGGCACGTACCAATATTGGGTATATCTATGATTTTCGGGCCTTCAACCAATGATTTGTGGTGAATGGATCGAACGGCGATTTCCTCGGGGGCTGCGCAAAACCTCAGAAGTCGTGAATTAAGTTACAACTCAAACTTTTTTTTTTATTGAAACATCCACCACACGAAGTATCCAAGAGGGAGCGAAAAGAAACACGGCGTAAAATTGGAATAGGAAAAAAAAATGGGATTATTGAATTCCAAAACAATTTAATAACAATATTACT